ACAAACTCTAGATCTGGGCTCTTGAAACTAGCTTAGGGAACAAGAACTAATCAGGGTGTAGCTGGACAAAGGGTTTAAAACCCTAATGTTGACTTTAGTCAACCCTAAATAAAACAAATGTCTAATAATAAAAAAGTTTAAAATAATAATAATAATGGAAAGCTATCAAAAGATTATGGTGCAATATTAATAATAAAATAAATATTGCCCAATAAAATGAATTGATCAAACATTGACTTTAGTCAGCATCACAAGAAGCCTTTTTCAACCATATTATGGGCTCCTCATTAGCTTAATGGGCCCATAGTTTCAAACCAAAATTAATACCCCCTCTTGACAAAAATACACCTCTTCTCAAAAACCATGATATTTAGAATATCATTATATTAAAACCAAGTTTATGTCAAGATTTTTTTAAAATAGATGCGTAGTGTAATACGGTGGGAGAACTGAATTGGGTGTTTTGCGTTTTATCGTAATTGTTAAGATAGCAAGAATCTCCACCGACTTTTCTTCTATCCAATAAAGGAAAGGGTGAAAAGAACAGAAAAGACCTTTAGAGAATTTTCTTGAGTTCGGGGGGTAGGTTATGAAAAGGGAAAGTGTTAGCACCCTTTTCATCTGTAGTTATCTATGGGCTCTTAGTTGCTAGCTCACTTTGAAAATGCTTTGTTTGAAATGTGTTGGTGATTGTTTGAAAGTATTTTTGAAAAGTTCTTACGTTTAGGCGGACTTTGTAATGATTCTCGTCTCTATAAGAATGTATACAAAGTGTGACTTTTGAAAATATTTCTTTTGAAAGTGCTGGTGTGTTTTGAAAGATGTTTTGAAATGTTTGTGAGCAAATAACTATGAAAGTTATACCTACTCAAAAGAAGTATTTGTTCTTTTCCTCCTCCTTTAGATAGTGCTATCTTACCATTTATTGGTAAGAAGTTCTATTATTGGATGTGAAGGGACGGGCGTTGGTCGTTGTATAGTCATAGAAGGTAACCTATGGGACACTTTAGAAATTATCACAAGGGACTAAGATCGTTTTACCAAAGGCAACGTCGAAGGGTCATCAGGGACCACGATCTTTTTATCTAGGGTCTTTGCTAAAGCGTCCCATATTCGAGGGACATGAGTGTTTATTCGTAGGCAACAAATATGGGTTACCCTAGAGGTGCTCGTGTGAATTAGTTTTTGATTACATGCATTATTTGTCTTAAAATTAGGGTTCTCTAAGATTGATTTTATCTTGCCATAAACATCCTAATTACTAACAATTATATTAAAAACGATAAGCTGCAGAAATTAAAATCCCACGCTATTACATCATTGTAGGGGATGAGGATACAAGTAATACAAATGCGGGAAAAGTAAAATCCTAATTACTTATTACAACCAAATTGAATGAAAATAATAGAAAAAAGTCCAAAAAAAATCAATATTTTTGGTGTCTGGTCTGACACGGGCTGTGTCTTCTGGCACAGCCACCCTTGTGAGGGCCCTGTAATAACCCATGCATGGTTTTTCTTCTGTCCCAGCTGAGCTGACATGGGTTGTGTCATGTCACACAAGCACACGTGTCAAGACCCTGTCCTACCAATTTATCACGTTTTTAATTCTAGTAGATCCAACATGGGCCGTGTCATATGACACAGGCACCCATGTCCGCGCCTTGTCCTCCTTTTTTGTATGCTTCCAGTTCCAGTAGATCTGACACGGGTCGTGTCCAGTGACACGGGCACCCGTGTCAGCACCCTGTCCTTCATTTTTTGTTAGATTTTTAAACAGTTGAGCTAACATGGGATGTGTCGTGTGACACGGGTGAAACAACCGGCTGAAAATCATCAAAACAATGAAGTCGCCATCGAACGTCTTTTATCCCACATGTAGGGAAAGGTAAACATCGAGAAAACCTGATGAGGGAGAAGTCACGGCCTTGCGACCGAGAGATCGGGTAAGGGAGTCTGTTACGCGAGGGGAAGGTATTAGCACCCTACACGCCCATAGTACTCTACGGTATCCACTCTCGTTGTCTATCTTATGGGTGTGTTTAATCTATGCTTACTGTTTACTATACTACTGGAGAATGCATGCAAAAGAAAAGAGAAAAGAATGTAGGGAAAATAAAATTGTGCTCGCTTGGGCCCTACCCCAATGCCTACGTATCCTTTTTGAGGAATCAGAGCTACCGTAGTCCGGCTCATATGTTTTTGTTTGTTTTGTGTTTTTTTATGGACGAAGTTAATTCCGCCTTCTGCCGCAGCTCGACCATTGGAGACTTATGCGTTGGCACAGAAGTAAATTAATCGCGTCCTTACCTGAAAAGGGTTTTAAAGAAAAGTGCTCGAGCGCACAAAAGATTTGAATTGGTTTATATTTTGTTATATATGTTTTTTGTGGACGAAGTTAATTCCGCCTTCTGCCGCAGCTCGACCTTTGAAGACTTATGCGTTGGTACAGAAGTAAATTAATCGTGTCCTTATCTGAAAAGGTTTTTTAATGAAAGGTGCTCGAGCGCACAAAAGATTTGACTTTGTTTTGCATTTTTGTTGTAGATGATGACTGATTGACCTCAAGAGAGAGATATTAGCCATTTTTCTACTTAGCTATGAAAGGAGTTTTTGAGAATTGAACCACACCTATGCTTGAGGTGAAGAACAATAAGATCGAGAAGAGACCCGCTTATCATTTCTCGTACTAAGCGAAAGCATGATTCTCATCAATAGTTTTAAAGTGTTTTGAATTTTGAAAGAAAAAGAAGTTTTTGTTTTACGTGCGAATGCAAAAAGGGAAGCAAAGTTAAAGGGGAATTAGCCTATTTCTAAACCTGGTGTTATCGTGCGTGGTTAGACCTAAAGTTAGAATTTTGAGGGAATTCTACCTAATGTTAGCATGTTTGAATTGCGATAAAATACCGAAATGAAGGATAAAATAGGGTTGTGACGATACCGAACGGAGAAGGTCCGTTGCCTCTTCAAAATTGTGCAAGCGGTAAGGAAATTCTATCAAAGTTCCCTTGGGCAAGTGATTGAAGAATTAACCCCGAGTATTCCACATTGCAAGAGTTATATCAATGCTATCACAAAAATCTTGACTAAAAAAGGTCAATAAGAATGATTACCAAATATGAAAAATAAAATAGAAAAAATTCAAATCGAAATTCTAACAAGAAATTCTATTCTAAAAATATTCTATTATTTTTATTGTTTTATTATTGATTAAAAAAATTAAACTAAAAGAAAAAACTAAAATAATAAAAGAAAAGGAAAAAATTTTAGAAGAATAAAGGGGTGTGAGCTGAATTCATGGGGTGCTGTAGAAGTAATTTGCCCAAAAGATTTTCAACATTTTATTTATTATTTGCCTAATTATAATTATTATTATTAATATGAAATAAGAAACTAAAAATAATAAAACAGTTGAAATTAAAAAAGAAAAAAAAGAGTATGAAAATTGGAAAGGGAATAGGGTCTTTTTTAGAGCTATGTCTCTTCTCTTCTTCTTCGCGGAACAAGTACGAACGGCACCGACGGACACAGCTTCCTCCGCTTCTTCAGACAACTCGGCGGCGCGGTCATCATCATCCTCGCTGATCTCCGTATGTCTCAAGGTGTTCACATCTTCTCTGAGTCAATCCGTCGCCATCATCTCTCCTCCGATTCAAACTCCGGCTCCCATCAATCAGCCTTCGACACCTCACGGTGACTTCATCCTCTCCATTGATCTCTCTGTTCACCGATCTTTGTCTGCACCGTTACAATTCCCTCGATGTTCTTCTTCTTCTTTGTTCTTCTTTCGCTTACTCATGAAAATTGCATTTCTGCTTATAAATTGATATGCGTGTTGCTGTTGAGGAATGAAGATGATGAAACATGATGATAACAAGTGTTAATGCATAGATACACCTAGATACTGAAGAAGAGGATTGAAATTGATGGAGGTTCAAGGTTTGACGATATTGTAGAACGAGAAAATGGAAACAGGGTTGAAGATGAAGATAAGGCTTGAAGGTGAAAACACGATGAAGATTCAAGCCTGAAGATTATGGAAGATAGAGTTGAAGAGAGAATTGAGAGGTTTTCCTGAGAAATTTTTCATGGCCATTCTTCTGAAGTGATGAAGGAAGGATTGTAAAGGTGAGTTTCTTTCTTAATGTAAAATAATCATATCTTTCTGACTGTGGTTTCTCCCTTTTATGTATATGCTGGAGTTTGTTTTTATAGTTAAGAGGTTGGTAATTCTGTTAGGTGTTGAATCTGAACTGTTGAATCGATTGAATTAGTTATGGAATAGATGGTGAGATTTGAATTAGTTAGAGGTTGTTTATGGACTTTGTAATTCTGTTAGGATTAGTTGAGATATGGTTTTGGGTTAAGTTAGAAAAATGTTAGAAATTAGTTAGGAGTTTGTTACAGTTAGGAATGAGGGAAAAGTTAGTTATAGACAGTTAGAAGTTTGTTATGTTATTTTCTGTTGCAAGTCAGTTGAGTTAGTTATGGGTAGTTGTAAACTGTGAGAATTTCTGTTAAGGGGATTTGGTTAGTTTGCAGGTTAGTTCATCAATTTGAGCCAACTGAGAAAGGGGTTAGCAAACACCAGCAAAAACTAGTGGTTGGTGGAAACTTGGGTTAAGCCATATGAAAAACTATTGGTGAAGTTTATAGTTATGTAAAAGAAACTAGTTAGTAGATTGGATCGAATATTGACGCTTGAAAATAGGGTGGACTGCGGATGATATATATGTTCTTTGATTTACTATCCTTGTTTTGTATGGCTGAATTTCGATGCACGCGAACTTGTTTTGTATGGACTCATTTTGCATTTATTCCGAACTTGATCCCGGTGCTGAACTATAGCATGGATTGAAGTGAATCAGTGATGGTTTGTTTTTCCTTTTCTTTCTTTGGATACTTGAATTGGTTGTTTCCCTTTTGGATTGTTTATTGGACTGACGAAAATTTCCATTCTGTTTTTCAGGAATATCATCTTTAACAGAAACCGGTTTTTGATCAAGGGATGAAGAAGACTTTTTTACCATCGTTTCCACAATCAAAGCCATCAACATTTCTATCAATTTTACCAACATCATCATCGTAACTACTTTCTTCGTCTGAATCTACTTCGCTGCCATCACCAGGCAAAGAAATCACCCGCTGACGACTCGAAATAGCTGACTCTGCAGCAGCCACAGCATCAGGTGTATGAAGATCGGCAACACCAAGCATCAAATCTATTTCAATAACTTCAGATTCATTTCCAACTAGCTCTTCAATATGATATTTCTCTGGATTGTCCTTAGCATCATTTTCCAGTTTTTTATTTGCTTCTGACATCACTCCTACGAAGTCTTTAACCTTTCCTAAAAGTTGGCTGGGAGGAAGTGGAGCGGTAATGGGCGTTGGATGAGTGGGTAATCTTGGAAGATAATGGCTTGAAGATAAATAACTTTAGAAATGAGGGAAACCTTGATTTAGAATTCTTTAGCTTTAGGCTACTTGAATATTTAATGTAAATTCTTGTTTTTTTGATTTAGTAATTTTGGATGTAAACGTCCTTTTGAAATCTTCTCTTGTAATGTTCTAATGATACCGCTTGTAAATTGCATGGTTATGACCTCGAATGAACGAGAATGATTTTGGATAACCCTTTGACAAATCACGAGTAATGCTTTGTAAAGATTATATCATTGTATGAATGTGAACTCTTGAACTTTAATGATGGAGCCCAAATATTCCAAGTAGTCTTCTCTTCCGAATTGCCTTTTGTATCTCCAAGATTTTTTTAATTTTATGTTGCATATAACACCATGGTTGTGATATGAATTTAATAAGAGTCTTTTCCAAGGACGAACTTGTAACGTCGAGTTTCTTTGCTTTTGAATGAAGACATGCCTAAACACCCTCAAATGAACGAGCCTTGCATCTTTCTTACTCCTCACTTCAAAACCATAATTGAAGAAGCTTAAGATTTTTATTTTAATGTATTTTGAAATGAAGTCCCCAAAGCATATTATATCACAAGTAAGCGAATAGACCCGACAAAGAGCTTTGCCTCATAAAGTGTACAAATTCCAATTTGGCAAATAGTATCCCGTTGAATCTTCTTCTCTTGCCTAGAGCTCGCGAACATATGCCTTGAGGTTAAAGGAATAGCTAAACCTCATTTGATGAAGAAAGGACCATTTGAAATACTAACCCGTAAAAGATACGATTTTCTCATATGATAACCTTTTTGTATGATATATTGAAGCATCCTTGAACAAGATCTTAATGGCCATGGATATATCAAAATCTTCAACCATGATCATGGAAATAAATCATCATTCGTGTGGAGGTGATAAGTATAAGACGATGTTCCTCACTGCTTAAGCTTGCAGCCTTTCGAGATAGCCTTGGGATGACTCACAATTGAAGCGGCAAGTATTTGACGAGAACCAAAAATTGTATCACTAAAAGAAGTCCACAGTGTTAGAGAAAAAGCCACACACCAACCCTTATTCCTCGAAATCCATGATTTTATGCCAATTTATTGATTAATGATGCATGATGTGTTAGATGACCTAATGTGAAAAAAATGCAAAAATGCGTAAGCCAGATAAAAGTAAAAGGGTAGGACAAATTTGAGGTATTACAACGGGTACTCGTGTTATCCCCCAGTCTTGGCTTTTTCACTGAGTTTTCTTATTTTTATTTATCCTTTTTTATATATCTTTTGAACATAAAAAGCAAATGATGTATGGATAAAGATATCACAGTTTGGAAAAAAGTTTACCTCTCGAAGCGAAAACTTTGGAACACATACGGATGTCTCTGGGCGCAAAGTGATGATTGGTCAAGCTCCTTTGAACCTTCTTGAAGTTTCTCCCAACCTTACTATGTGCCACAAAGTTCCTGAATCACTCCAACCCAGTCAAGTTGCAAAATACTATTTTTTTTTGCGTTTGGAAGGTGATGATAATAGTATTACAGAAATTGTTCTTATGTTTGAAAAATCTCTATGTGATGTATATGGAGTGTTTGGATAGTTGGTTTAGGGGAAAACTTGCAAGGTTGAATAGTGGGTTGAGGTTTTTTTTCTGTTTCTTAGTTTTTGTTTTGTGAAGGAAAGTAGATGAGCAGAGTTTATAAATAATTTTGTTAGGTTTTTTCCAAATCTTCTTTTTTCTCTTCCCTCCTTTCTCTCCAAAAACCTCTCCTTTGTGTATTGTGAAACAACTTATTTATAGATTAAATTGACTGAAATTTGGGAGGGAAATAGATAAGTTTTTGAACTTTTCGGATACACTGTTTCATTTCTTTTTAGATGCAGCTCTTACATGCTAAGTTTGTGCAAAAATGGGACTGATATGATGTAGATTTTGCAGGGTAGCATTGCAAGTTTTGGAGCAGGTTTTGACAGTTTTCTTGGCATTACTATGCAGGTTTTGGACAGCAAGATATGTAGCATGATGTGGGTCTGATTTTGTGGATAGATTTATGCAGCTTATAATAAATACAAGGCATATTTGTGGACATCATAGTGGCAAAGTTTAAAGATTGGGACAAAGGGAAAAGTTCAAACAAGACAAAGCTTAAGATTTGTAACTTGCAATTTTTTTAACTTAAAAATCCAGCCTTGTTGTTTACTTCAAAACTTGTAACAACTTGAATTATCTTGAATTGTGGTGAAAAAATGTCATGAAATAATGAAATTAACATGTATGAAAAAACTTAGAAAAATCTCTAAATCTTGCAAAGTTTGACTTTTCTAAATGACTTTTGACCTTCTTGATTTCTTGATGATCAAATTTCATATTTTTGAATATCTTGATGAAATGTGATCTTTGAAACTAAAAATTAATCAAAAAGTCAAAGTTTGACTTTTCATTGTACAGTTGAGTTTTTTCATCAGTTGACCAAATTTCATCTATCAATCCACTGATCTTGGGAGATGAATTGAAATATGCGATTAGGTAAAAAAGATGTACTTGAATCCTTGAGATCATTTTTTGAACCAATAAGTCATGTATTAGGTTAAAAGTCAAAGATTGGTCATTCTTAGTCAAAACCCTAATTTTGACCATTTTCCCATTTTGATGATTTAAACAATTTTCTTGGAGAATTATGATACAATCTTGATCAAATGATACATATGACTTCAAAATGTTGATATTGTTCAAAAATCTTAAAATTTGACTGTAGGTTGACCATAATTGAATTTTTTCCAATATAGTTGATTTTAAGGCCATCTGATCAATTGACTGAGCAATTTAGTGATCCAAGACTTGAAACTTGACAGGAGCAATATTGAGGGTCCATAATGATCCATGAAAGTCATTTGAAATATTATAAGTCCAAATTTCTTTATGCAAACTTAAACCCTAATTTGAGGCATCAGTGTTTAGGAGTTGGCTTGATCTAGTCAATACTTGTGCAACCTTGAATCATTAAAGATCTTTGTGGGAAATATCTTGAGAAAAGGGAGGGAAAATTTTTGGGTACAATAGCTTCCCTTGTTCAATCTTCTTAAACTTGAAGAGTTAGATTGGCAGGTCTGCCATTCGTGACTTGAAGGTGGGAGATGATTGAACACTATAGAGTGTCCAGAAATTTGTACTTGATAATGTGTTGGTTGATTGTGTCGGGAATGGGCTTAAAGATTCCATTTGGAGAGGTGATAAAGAATTCTTCAGAGATGGGCTTATAGATGCCATCTAGAGTGACTGTTGGTAGAAATTAGAAGAGGTATCAGAATAAATCTTTGGTTGATTTATACTGAAATTGTAGATGTCTTTTTACTTTTTCTTAACTAGAAGAGATAAATCTAACCAGAAGAGGTATGTTGTTTGGCCACTTAGCAGGGGAAATAATCTTAACCAGAAGAGGTCAGTTGATTGTCTGTCATTAACTGGTAGAGATGAACCTAACTCGAAGAGGTCTATTGAATACCTACCATTAACTTGAAGAAACAATTCTAACCAGAAGAGGTTTGTCTGTTTGCCTATCATTAACTGGAAGAAGTAAGTCCAACCAGAAGAGGTCTTCGCCTGCATGTCTTTAATCTGGAAAAAATAAATCTAACCATAAGAGGTCTCCATTCGCCTATCTTTAATCTGGAAGAAACAAATCTAACCAAAAGAGGTCTTTGTTCGCCTGTCTTTAATCTGGAAGAAATAAATCTAACCAGAAGAGGTCTATTGAATACCTGTCATTAACTGGAAGAAACAATTCTAATGAAAAGAGGTTTATCTGTTTGCCTATCATTAACTTGAAGAAGTAAAACCAACCAAAGGGTTATTCGCCTTTCTTTAATCTGGAAGAAATAAATCTAAGCAGAAGAGGTCTTTGTTCGCCTGTCTTTAATCTGGAAGAAATAAATCCAACCAAAAAAAGGTCTTTGTTCACCTGTCTTTAATCTGGAAGAAATAAATCTAACCAGAAGAGGTCTATTGGATACTTGTCATTAACTGGAAGGAACAATTCTAACTATAAGTGGTTTGTTTTTTTGCCTATCATTAACTGGAAGAAGTAAATCCAACCAGAAGAGGTCTTCGCATGTTTTTAATCTGGAAGAAATAAATCTAACCAGGAGAGGTCTTTGTTTGCATGTCTTTAATCTAGAAGAAATAAATCAAACCACAAGAGGTATTTATTCTCCTGTCTTTAATCTAGAAGAAATAAATCTAACTAGAAGAGGTCTTAACCTGTCTTTAATGTGGAAGAAATAAATCTAACCAAAAGAGGTCTTGTTCGCTTGTCTTTAATCTGGAAGAAATAAATCTAACAAGAAGAGGTATGTATGTTTTCCTATCATTAACTGGAAAAAGAAAATCCAACAAGAAGAGGTCTTCGCCTATCTTTAATCTGAAAGAAATAAATATAACCAGAAGAGGTCTTTGTTCGCCAGTCTTTAACCTGGAAGAAATAAATCTAACAAGAAGAGGTCTTTGTTCTCCTATCTTTAATCTGGAAGAAATAAATCTAACCAGAAGAGGTTTATTGAATAACTGTCATTAGCTGGAAGAAACAATTCTAACCATAATAGGTTTGTACGTTTGCCTATCATTAACTAGAAGAAGTAAATCCAACCAGAAGAGGTCTTCGCCTGTCTTTAATCTGGAATAAATAAATCTAACCAGAAGAGGTCTTTGTTCACCTGTCTTTAATATGGAAGAAATAAATCTAACCAGGAGAGGTCTTTGTTCGCCTGTCTTTAATCTAGAAGAAATAAATCTAACCAGAAGAGGTCTTCGCCTGTCTTTAATCTGGAAGAAATAAATCTAACCAAAAGAGGTCTTTTGTTTTGTTGATTGACTTTTCCTACAAGGAAGAGGATTAGTTGCATGCAGATGTAT